CAATAAACACAGGCTGGGACGACTTGAGGGCCACACCCACAGATGCACTGTCCCCACTTGTCCCCCATGTACCCTCTCAGGTCACTCCTCCTGACCCCTTCTTACCCCCTAGGCTCCCTGGGGGGGTGCTGTCACTAGCTCTGGACTCTTGAGGCACGAGGGTGCCAAAGGCAGGAGAGAGGGAGGGCGGGCGGCAGCACAGCCCTCGGGGTGGAAGGTGGCTGTGACAGTTGCAGGATAAAGGCGCGCTGGGTTTTGGGGAGGAGACCTGAGGTGCTGGCAATGGGAGCGCCAACCGACGGAATGAGAAGCTGGGGACTGTGAGGAAAGAGGCAGGCAGATGCTGCCTTCACGGGGGGGTGTGTGCTATTTCAATTTGGTAATAGGTGCGTGGGTCAAAAGGACAACAAATAAACCAAGGAGGATCCCGGGGTGCCTGGTAAGGGCAAGGATAAAGGTAGGCGGCAGAGACTCCAGGCGCACAGGCAGGCTGCCGCGTCCCCTGTTGCCCACCACACCCAGAAGGAGGAAGTTCTGTGGGCTCTGGAGGGCTCACTCGCTGCTGTTATGGCCAGCGGGGTCCAAAGCTCTAGGCACCTCAGCCCCAGGCCTTGCAAGGGCGCGGTGGGCACAACCTCTCCTGACATCAGTGCCCCTCTATGCAGCGGCCAGCTGGCAGCACCAGGAGCGGCTCCTCCACTAAGTCTAAATCGATGTTTCAGAGCCCCTTCAGAGGCCACTGGGGAACCTGCATCCTATCAGGAAGGGCAGAAGCCACAGGTGCTGCAATGGGAAAGCGGGGACCCATCAGGCAGTCATCAGCCACCTCTGTCCATTAACAGCTTCATGCCCTTGGGTAGACTGCTTCACTTTGGGGACCCTCACCCGTAAAACATAAACACTGCATGATTCCTGGAAAGCTGCAAGGATCACAGATGCTTTCCTCGAAAATACTCGAATCCCTGCCTTTACCCTTACAAATAACCTTCTGCCACCCTTTCCCCTGAGTGTCAGTGGATGTTGAAGATGCAACATTCATGGGTTGATCTGTGTCCCCCTAAGATAAATGCTGAAGCCCTAACCCTGGCACCTGTGAATTTCTGCTCATTTGGAAACAGGGTCTTCATGGTATGGTGAAGTAGGATGAGGTCACCGTAGAGCAGCGTGACCCTAGGCCCATTCTGCACCCCTCTGAGAAGTGAGAACAGCAGTATAGACAGGAAGGGAAGATGATGGGAAGCCACACATACAGGAACAAGATGGCCTCATGGCCATGGAGGCAGAGCCAGGGGCTGGGGAGAGGCCAGAAGGAGACAGCCCTGCGATGCCCTGGCTGTGGACTTCTGGTCTCAGGGACTCTGAGAGAGTACATTTCTGTTGTTCTGAGACACCCTGTCTGCAGCGCTTTGTTCCAGCTGCCCCAGGAAATGAGCAGGTTTTCTCTGCACAGTGCTTGAATCTTTCTCCCCAATATCAGCCAGCAACCGATGCCTCATCTCCAGGAAAAGGAAGCCAATTCAGCACCTGCCGAAGCAGCGACTCCTCCCCCCCTAAACAGGTCTCATCCTCAGAAGCTCATGCCTTCCACAAACTCCTAATGAGTCCCTACTATGTGCCCGGCACTGTTTTAGGCACTCTTAATGCACAGCACATGGGGAACAGACAATAAAAGTGTTTTCAATAAACAAGGTCAATTCTGATGTTGTTATAGAGAAGACAGATGCAGTGTGATTGGATGCACTGTCACCAGAGGAAAAGAGACCCAACTTTGATGCTAAGGGAAGGTCCCATGGAAGATGTGGCATTGGAGCAGCGTTATGGCTTGTGTTCAGATGTCCCCCAGAGCCTCATGTGGTCACAGGTGAGGCTTTTTCAGAGGTGGCTGGATTGAGGGTGAGTGATGCTGGGGTTGATTCATGGTACAATGCTAGGCTCAAGGTCACTGGGGTTGCAGGGGCATGCTGCCCACCTTTAGTAGACTGGATAAAATAAAAGGGGCTGAAAGATCCTGGTAAGGCCCCTTGTGGCTCTTGCTATCTTGTTGGGCCATGAACTATTCTCCTCTGCAGTGCCCCTCTACCAAACCATCCCGTGTTGGAGCCAGCCAATTATGGACTGAAACCCCTACAAACCACATGGTAAATAAACATTTCCCCCTTTCACTTTGGAATGTCGGGTATAAAATAACTCAGACACTCAGTTACCTGGATGACAGGGAAGTAGCCATGGGAATATGGCAGAAGGAACAGCTGTTGCAAAGGCCCCATGGTTGACTGAGCGAGGCCTAGAAAGACGGCAGGCCCTTTGCGAGCAAGAGCCATCAGGTGAGGTCAGGGAAGACTTCTGAGCTTCAGCCCCACTATGCTGGGCCACGAGAACTGCTGAGAGTTCAAGGACTGCATAGAGAAACCCCATCTCAAGACACCAGGGACTTTGGGACTTTCCAACTATATCTGTTCTGCTCTACAACAGACCTGAGCTGTCTGTAACCCTGGTTCTTGGTTCTCTCCCTCATCAGCCCTCATCCAGTCACCCCAGAGCAGGCACAGTAAGTCCTCTTGCTCTTCTCCTATGACCTTCATTACACGGTACTGTCCAGAAATGAACACAACAGTGTAGGCACAGGGCCGCCGGGAGCTCTCATCCAGACCCGAAGTGCCCAGCCCTCTCTGCCACTCTGCCTTGCACTGCCAACTTGCTGAAACACACACCAGGCAGCCTCCCGAGGTCCTGAAAGAGCTGCTAGATCCAGAGGGCGGGACAGACCTTGTTCTTCTCTGAGCACAGCTGTGCCTTGGGGCGTGGTGGGAGTGGGGGCCAGCCTGACCCATACAATGCCACGTATAAAGCCCTGATTAAAGCAAACATGACTCCTGGGCTGCGCCTGGAGATTTGCAACATTCCTCTTCCGGAATGGCCTTGTTCGCTTGCACCACACGCCTGAAGACACCTGAATGATTTGGAAACGCCAGCTCTTGAGCAAAGATACGCTCTGCAATCTCACTTCCTTCTAGATTGCCCAAAGCCTGTAAACAAATCTGAGTTGGTGTGGGCTAAAAAAGCAAGAGGGTGAGCCACACTGGTTGGCCAGGGAGGCTCGGGCAGTGGCCGGGGTGGAGGACATCGTGGGGAAGGGCCAGGGCCCCTGGTGGGAGAGGCAGCTCACCTGCATCTGCCCCAGGTCCCCTGGGTGAGAGGCTGTGACATCTGGCATCAGCAGCTGGATTAACCCTTGGCATTGCCTTTCTGGGATGCAGGGACAACACTGCCTGACACTCCCCGGTTCATGAGCAAGAAAAGCTAAGAGAGTGGTGCACGGCACCTGGTGAGGTCTAAGGGCTCAGGCCATCAAGGCAGGGGGCTTCCCTCCTCCCTTCCTGGTGGTGGCTGATGCCCTAAGACTTTCTGCTTTCTGTATTTCTTTTAACCTGATTGCTTCCCTTTTGTGAAAGTAAAAATGAAGATGGGGCGAGCGAGAGAGGAGAGGAAGAAGAGGAAACTGAGGTAGGCATACAGCAGGGCCCCACAAAAGCAGCCCTCTCAGTGCTGTCTGGGGCTTCTATAAAGCAATCACCTTTGAAAAACTACATTTTTCTCGTAAGGCCAGAAACACAGCTGCCGGCTCCGCTGCATCTTCTCCTGCATGAAGCGCGGTCACAAACTCCCAGGCTTGGACTATCTACCACATTGGGGGGCCTCTCAGGGCTTCAGCTGCGACCCCCTCACATAACAGGAGCACACAGAGGAAGCAGAGCTGCCATCCGAGCGACAGCTCGGGAAGGAGCCTCAGAACGAAACCAGAGATGGAAGCACTGTGCTGCCACCAATGACGGCCTGAGCCCCCGGCCCGAGAGCCCCTTGGTATCTTGGATGGAAAAAACAAACCTCATGAGTCAACTTTTTCACTGAGCTGATTTCAACAGCCTATCACCTAAGCTGCAAAGGTGCAGGCGGTCCTATTTTTGAACAAAGCGGGAATTAAAATCACAGCAGCAGGGAGACACTGGACCACAGGGAGCCCTGCTTCCCCCACAAAGGGGTGGGGAGGATGGAAGGAAAGCTCTAAGCACCCCACCCCTACCCCACAACAGCGCTAAGCATCTCTGCTGCCCTGCTTTGGGCTGAGGACAGCTGCTGCTTCCAATGGGATGGATCTGAACAGCGGCATCGGTTACAGGGCTGGATGGTGTGGCTGGCGCAGGGGTCCTGGCAGCTCTCAGCCTGCACGGACACTGGTCCACGGAAAGCCACCACCGCGTGGGCCTGCCCTGTGCCTGCTCCTTCTGCACGTTGGCACTTATGCCCAGAGAAACTTGAGCTGGCAGAACCTTCTTCCTCTTCTCCACTCCGTCTTCCCACATCCAGCCCCCCAGCGCCCCAGCAAACTCAGAGCCATCCGAAGGGGCCCATGACCCGCCCCTGAGAAGCGGGAGCTCGACCCCTTGCAGTCTCCAGAGCCCGAAAGGGAGCTCCCAAGCCCTATGCACACTGCCGTGCCCACCAGCCTCTGCCCGCTGGCCCCCGGGGCAGAGCAGCGTGAAACAGCACAGGCGTTGTGGCCAGGGAGGCCACAGGCCGGCGTCCTATCCTCAGCTCTTCCTCTGTCGCCCGTGCTCTGCTGCCACGCAGCAGCTCCCGTTCCCGAGTCAGGGTATCCTCTGCTCAGGACACACAGTGTGTCGCGGGGCCACTGGGCGACAGCATCTGCCAGCGCCGCGGGGGACAGCCTTGAGCACGGCCGGGGCCCCGAGCCTGTCCGAGCCCCACCCCGCGAAGACCCGCGTCCCTGCCACCCACAAACCCTTCCTCCACCCGCTGACCCTCACCACCCCACAGCGCTCCGCGGCCCGCGACCCTGCGGCGCTGCCATCTGTCCCCCCTCGCCGATCCCCCGCGCTGCCTCCAGACCCAGTCCCCGTTCCGCAGCTCCCGGTGTCACCCCCGCGCTATCCCCTCTCGAGCCTGCAGACCAGCGCGGCAGGCCCTAAGCCCTCTCTCACCCCGGCGGCTTCCGTCAGGCGGGAGACCCGGCAGCCGGCTGCACCGTCGGATCCGCTGCCGCGGCCACTGCGCCGCTTCCAAGCAGCCGGGTCTCGGCGAGGCGCTGCGGCCAGAGCCGTCAGTCAGTGGGCGTGCCCGCCCCTCCGGTGTGCGCAAGCGCGGACACGCCCCCTCGGGACACGTGACGGCGACTCCGGCTGCTCGCCCCGCCCCGTCCGTGGGATCTTTGCGCAGCGCCGGGCACGCACTCTGCGAGGATCCGGCTTTGGCGCAGGCGGATGAGCGACCTGGCGACCTCAAGGGGGGGCGGAGAAAGCCCGCATGGAGCCAGGACTTGGGATCCAGTTGCTTTCAGGTCCTGCGCCACCCAACTTGAAGATGCCAGTTTCTGCACCGGTGTGGCGGAGGGGAAGGACATGAGAGGACTTGGTTTATAAACCCGGTGACGACCACGGCACGGAAGGGCGGTGGAGGCCAGCTGAGGTTTTGCATCCGGGCCTCTGAGACTGGGGGCTCCCACTTCAACTGCTTAAAGCTTCTGAGACCTTTTCATACAGTAGGGTAAACATGACGTCCGGGTCATTGGGTTATTTTTAGTTTCTCCAGTTTTAAAAGGAGAAAAGTTGGGGGCTGGGGTTCAGCTCAGGGGTACGGCCTTTGCCTGGCATGTGTGAGGCCCCAGGTTCCATCCCTAGGACTGGGAGCGGGTAGAAATGCCACCTACGTAAGTTCTTTAGTTCCAGAAAAAGTAAAACCCCCTTCCCAGTAATTTGGGATTTTGTCAAGCTCGGTTCCCATGCCTAGCAGAGTAAAGAATTTGCCTCGGGTGTTCTAAAGCTATTTCCACAGCGGGGCTTCACAGGGGGAACAAGAGTTCTGCCTCTCAAGAGAAAAATGAACATGCAGAGGGATGGATGGCCAACTATTTGTCCCTTGACCCAGCAGGGTTGCTGTCCTTGGAGAGCTGAGTCCTGTCAGACTCAGGACTTGCTGGGAAAAGTTTAGCAAACAACAGGAAGAAGTTAGGGGTTGCAACTTCATGGGGGCTTGGGGACCATTAGCATCATAGTCCCTTGTCCCTTCCGGATTTGCTTGGCGTTACTGGGTACTAACTTCTCTCGCATTGCCCAGTACTTGACTCCTGGGTACCATCAGAGAAGCTGCACCTTAGGTACCCCACTGTGTGTGACTCCAGGAGGGAAGGGTGCGCCCCGCAGTAAGTGGCGTAGGCTTCTCCTGAGTCCCAAAGAAGACAGGTGCCATCTCCCAGGATGTGCAGGAGTGGACAGTTGTGCTGGGGCTGGAGGAAGAAGAGAGTGAACCTGGCACGGTGCACGAGCCCCGTAGCTCTGACCTGGCCGTGGCGACACCAACTGTTCAGGAAAATCAAAAGTGAGCTGGCTCAGGGTCATGGGATTTCATCTTGAAGAAACAGTTCTTCTGGAGGGATTCATGGGGGCTTTTTCCTCTTCCCCACCTGATAAAAGGTTTTCTGAACTTGCCAGAAACTTGGACGGGAGGTAAAAGGCAAGAGCATTTCAAAAAGAGGAAGAAAGGCTTTTGCCCCAGAGCAGTGAGCTTGCGTTGGGCCTGGGAACCGCTCAGAAGCAGTGGCTCGTGAAAACTACTGGTGACCCCTGAGGAGGAAGGCAAAGTCGCTGTGCCGCGCTGCTCAGTGACCCTTCTTCCTGCTGTGGTGTGCACCGATGAACTACGCAGGGGGTACTGGTGCTCAACCTGAAGCCACCAGAATGCTGTTCTAAGTGACAGAAACTCAATTCAACCTGGTCCACATAACTAGAAAGTTCTGGGGCTAGCTCAGCAGGATCCAGGGGCACAAATGTCACCCCCAGACCTTGTCTCTACCCGCTTCCACTGCCTGCCTCTGAGCTGGCCTCAAACAGCTTTGGGCTTATATTGTCTCAACAGATCTAATAGGAAAAAAAGGTTCTGTTTCCATTCTTCCATCAAAAGTCCCAGGACTCAAACGTGGGGCCTGGTGTGCATGCCTGTCATCAGTCCCCCTACTTGGAAGGCTGAGGCACAAGTCAAAGATTGCAGGCCAACCTGAGCAACTTAGCAAGACCCTGTCTCAAATTTTTAAAAAGGGGCTGGAGTTTTAGCTCAGTGGTACACTTGCCTACCATGCACAAAGGCCTGAGTTCAACACCCAGCACCAAAAACAAGAAAAAAATGCCAGGATTGCTTCCGAATGGATGAAATTTACCTTTGAACCCATTTCTGAGGCTAGCTGGATACACAGATGGGTCAGATGGGGACACAGGTGAGGTCAGTAGTACTTGGAGAGCCCCCTCGAGAAACCAGGCGCTCTTGCCAGCTGAAGGAGGGGCTGATAGGAGGCAGAATTCTCGGCAGGCAGGAAAAAGCAGCGGATATCCAGGATGAAACTGCTAAAGTGTCTTTTTTTTTTTTTTTTTTGAACCAGGGCTTGAACTCAGGCCCTTGCGCTTGCCAGGGAAGCACTTATTCCACTGAGCCATCTCCCCGGCCCTAAAGTGTCTTGATGTCCTGTACAAGCTACATGAAAAGAAAGCCTAAATCACTGGAAGGTTGATTCAGTATTTAGAAATACATTGAATGGTGGCTGAGTCAAAAAAAAAAAATATATTCAAGATCAGATTGGTTCTGCTGTTCGGCCACCAGTCCTACCGTCTTTTTTCTTATGGTTTACTGGAGAGTAGGAATAGCTGCTGAGGGACAGGAGAAGCCCCCGAGGTGGGCCACTCTCCCCTTGTTGTGAACAGGCATGACACAAGGATGTGATCTCACTGCTCTCAGGTGGGGTAGTGGCAGGCACGCGGGAGCACTCGTCCCTGAAGCACATGCTGATGAGCACACGGGCTGCAACCCCTTCACTGGGTTATCTGGTGGGCCCCTCAGCCCAGAGGCAGGCAGTGATGCAGCGTGAAGGATGCTGGTCCCTTTTGGGACGTGGCATCAGGCACGTCCCAGTTGTCTCTTCTGGGGGTGCTCTGTGCCCAGTGGTCGGCGGGAAGATTCAGGAGCTGTCCTGGCTGTGTGGCATGCAGTCACCACAGCCCTGCAGTGACTGCCAAACGACGTTTAATCCTGTTCTTCCATCTCCATTGGGAGCCTGACCTCTCCCTGTATCTACAGCTGGAGTGACCTTCAGATACCACAGATGTGACCACAGTGGTTCTCCTTTGCCCCCTGCTGTCCTACCTGGTCCTGCGGGACCAGGCCCTTCCCACTCTCCAGCCCCACCTCAGGCTACTCCTTACCCTCCCAGGACGACAAACAGTGCTCCTTCCTTGAGGCTTCCCCACCCCTCTCCTGAATCCCTTCTGCCTCAGCCCCCACTTCTGCTTTGCAAATACCCACCTCCTTCACTTGCCACGTCCTAAAGCCTGTGCCCAACCCCAACGTGGATGAGAGTTCCAAAGAAACCAGGGCACCCTGTCCTCGTCCTTCACAGGGATGCAGTTTGTCGACATGCACATCCCTGGGCAGTTAGACTCTGCACCACATCGTGCAGAGCGTCACCAGGTTCTACTCACAGCTGACCTGCACCAAATATGCAGATTGCAAGACGAGGCTCGTTGAAGACGAGGCTGCTGGGAACCGGAAGAGGCTGGCTTGCGCTTGGCTCAGTGCAGAAGCTAGGGGCTTGCTTCTGGGCAGGTGATTCGGGAGATGGGGTCATGTTTCTGGCTTGTGGGGAACCACATCAAAGGCCAGGACTTGGCACAGAGCTGTGACCCCTGGCTCCTTGGGATGGGCACAGCAGAGAAGGCAGAGCCTCGAAGCCAGGCAGAGCGGGTCAAGCTCAGCACTTAGGCCACAGTTTGCTCAGCTGTCTGGAGAAAGACTAATTTGCAGGGAGGAGGTGGCTAGCCAAGAAGAGCAAGCAAGATAGATCTTAGCTGTGTGACGCGGGGCACACTGCTTAACCTCTCTGGGCCTGTTTGTCTATAATAGGACCAACCATTGTGAGTTCATACGGTCATTCAGTGCCTGTTTATTGAGGGCCTGCGTCTGATGGGTGCCTAGGCAGTCTTGTGCCTGTGTGTGGCTTGCATCGCAGGGAGGAAAAGGCAGCAGTAAAAGGGAAGGAGGGAAACGTCACAGGAGTGGGAAGGGAGAAGGGCGAAGGAAGACGCCCTGAGTCGGCCCTGTAAGGCCTGGGCAGAGCCAGACTCGGGGGCTGGAGTGCCAGGCGTAGACGCAGCGCACCCCAGTGCCTGGGAATTCAGGAAGCGCCACGCCCCGGCCTCGCCCAACTCCTGGGGTGTGGAGGCCCTGTCATCCAGCCTTCCTGACCTGGCTGGCGGTTGACAGATTCCACCCCACAAACTGGGTGGAAGATTAGGAAACAACCCGAAGGAATCTGATGTTGCCCTGCCAACCTCTGGGTCTCGCTCCTACAACAATTAGACGACAGAAGTCGGGTGAAGATGGCAGGGTAGCTGTTGCCAAGCTAACGCTGGTACGTCCAGCACCTGCCCGCCGCCCTGCCTCCGCTGCCCGATCCCAGCAGCCTGCTGGAGTTCAGTTCTGCCTGTTTGTACTCCTGGAGTACGCGGCAGGCACTCTGCTGTCTTGTAAACCTTTTATTAAGTACGGTCTTGCGAGCCGAGCCACAGCGCTGTGCCGTCCGTGCCGTCTTCCCCTTGGCTGTGGTGTTTTGCTGTAGGACTGGACCCTGGTTCGTGCACTCTGCAGTTCCTTGATATTCAGGTTGCTCCAGCTTAGGGACACTGTCATAGTGCTGCGCAGACACCCCAGCGTGTCGTACGTGAGCGGATGTCACGTGGGGTGCTCCTGCCGGTCGCCTGAGGCGTCTGACAGCCGCGTTCCCACCGAAGAGGTGGCTCCGTGTGCACATGCCGACACTCGGCGCACTCCGGCGCTCCCAGGCAGGCGGCCTATGGCCAGCTCTGCGCTGTGCCTTCCGTCTGCACGTCTACGATGAGCAGTGAAAACGATCATCCTCTCCTGTCACTTGGGTGCTCTTTTGAGAAGGCCCCATTCAACTGTTTTGCTAATCACTGTATTGTTTATTTTTAATTATTTAAGAGTGCATGGGGGCCGCCCTGGTAGAGGGTATGTTTAGTATGTGCAAGGCCCATGTTTTCCCCAACTAAAAAAGA